GTTAGCTATGAGCAAGGATTAGAGTGTTCCCGACTCACCCATGTCTCGCATATGGTTGATGGAGAATACGGGGTTAAGCATCTTTCGTTGCTTCCGATGCTGGTGTCCGAACGTAGATAACAGCCCTTCGCCAAAGAGCATACTTCTTGCGCTGCACAGGAATTAGTGGTGTGCCAGGACGAACAAGGTGTATCCCTCACGCGTAAGACTCTGGCGTTTCTTCGAACACGTCTTGGTCCTGCTCAAGCACCCGTCAGGAACTAACCAACGGAGTGTGCTCAGAAAGGACGAACCTTTACGAGAACATGGTGTAGCACCTTAGGGTCTGAGATGAGCAAGAATCGATTCTGGGTTGGCGGATTAGTCCTTTACATTCACGGCGGCTGTGAAACAAGGTTACCCCTAGAAACGACCCGATGTTGCTGACAAGACCTGATGAATCTTAGCGAGGCTCAGAAATTGGACACTGTTGCCTTACCGCTCCCATCCAATTTTGCCAGGTATTCAACCTGGTAGCCGCCAAATAGTTTTCCGAGGTGACCTTGTTGCACGATGTCAGCAACGGAAGGCGGGGGTAGCTGGGTGATCAACTCACCAATAAACGGAGACCCGCCAGGAGGTTTAGGCAGGGCTGCCAGGGTATCTTTGCGGACGAGTGGTCGAACAACGAGCCACACAACTCGAGTGAGGACATAAATAGCGAGGATCTGTGCAGCATGCGATAGGAGGGTCATGATGCAATTGTGAGAGCTGCGATAGGGTGGTTCACACCTTTATACGGCAGGGCAAACATGGCACCCTGTGTTCTTGCTACATCTGGGCGATCACGAAACCCTATGATATGTAATTTCGCGATCTTTAACATTGGCGTAACCTCACGACACCTTTTTGAAAGTTCGTCTTCTCCAGTGCCTTCGTCCCTTGCCTTTGGAGCTGCCCAGCACTCGGCGGCCGTGGCACAGGAGGTGAGGAATTGTTCTTATAGCAGGAGTGCAAGCTTCGAGAAGGACAAAGATTCCCTATCCCAGAGCGTTGGGGCTGTGGTATCTGACAGTCGGATACTCACGGTGCCAATGTCGAGCTTCTTGTGATGTTCTTGAGGGTCACTTGAGGCTTCCTTGAAGAACAAAACGGCGCCGGTGATGTAAAGGCTCAGACATAAGCGGATGGAGGATTCCCGGGTCAGAAGGTGAGGGGAGAGACCCTTGGGCTCAAGGCATACGGGGTTCCTCGCGACAGGTGGCTCAGGAGATGATGGTAAGTTGCGCAAGTCAGGAGCTGTTTTTGTTCCGGTTTCAGAGACGAGGAGTCAAGTAAACACCATGGGTTGACAGCAAAGAGGGATCTGAAGGTATGGTTGAGGCACACAGTCATGGTTGATGGGAGAGTCGCGCTTGTGTCGCGCTGGGTTGTTCTTTGGCTCTGAGACAGAGCTCGTTAAACCGCACACGGTAGCCAATAAATAATTACGTAATATGTGAGAGGTTTGTTGGGTTAGGAGATTGCACGCCAGACTGAGGAGGTGTTGGCGCTCAAGCGACGATGCCACATCGTTGGGCTTACCTTTTTCATCAAGCGTTGCTTGATACTGCGTGCGGCCAGCCCGAAAGGTTTCCCAACTTGACCTTGGTCGATACATCCCGCTTTCAGCGTTGGTGCCATTTTTTTCGGGGAGTGAGAGGCATTCCATTGGAGAAAGAATCGATCACTTCCATTGCGGGGCGTATGTAGGAATTATGACAAAAAAAAAAAGCGGGTTCAAGGAGGGATGAGGGAAGACATAAAAACACAGCCTGAGGCCCTGCCGTACTTCATAATGCAACGCGTATGAGGCCCGTGAAGCAAGAGGCAGCCGCTCGCAATCAGGCAGCGCGTTCGACGAGCAGCGGGAGCTCAGGCCTCGGCTTGCTCAGATCGACAGCGGGCGTGACGACACCAAAAGATCTCCAGGTAATCTCTTTCTTTGTGAGTGAAAATTTCAAGCCGTCTAAGAGGTGGAATGCCATGATTTCTATGCAGTCATCGTCAACATCCGTACCACCTTTTAGAAGAGTATCACGAGAGACTTACTCATCTCGAGCTGAGAGAACTTGAATCCAATGCACGATCTTCCTCCTCCGATGAAAGTCATTCTGTCCGGCCATTAGGATCAACGACGAGGGAAAAAGCGTGCACGAATAGTAGCTTACAAGTGGGAGTAAACCCCGGGGACTTTAGCTTCGATGACGCTTTGGGGGATGTCGTTGAGCCATCGTTCAGGTTTGAATTCGAGGGTGTCCGATCCCCAAAGGTCAGCAGCTCGGTTACACCCTTGAATTGACACAATGAGCCTTGTGCCTTGTGGGATTACCAGTTCGTGGAGCTCCTGGCCGTCCTTGCCGTGAATCGGTTTGTAAAGAGGGACTCTGGCATCTTTCATAGCGCTGGGAAGTGACCGTGAGTCGAAACTGTGAGAGGCCCTGAGAGACGGGTGACATACGCTCGTGTCACAATCGGAGCAGGAGGATATCTATGTTCAATTTGTGAGCTGGAATACGAGAACAGGGACAGAAGACACTGACAGCCGTAGCATCTCTCTGCAGACCGCGTCGAGATATGGAAGAGCGTTCAACTGGTCATAGTTTAGCTCACCGTACTGCTCCTTTGCCTCTCGGATTTCCTTTCGCAGACGGTCTTGAACCTGTTGATGTTTCGCCAGAAGCCAGAGAACGCGGCACAAGGCACTGGATGTAGTGTCTAGGCCGGCCAGAACAAAGGTCCTGGAATTCGGTTAGGCCTAAAACAGCGCAAGGCAAGTAGACGCCACCAACGAGATTTGAGCCAATATCTCATGATCAGGAAGCTTATCCTCGTCCGTGCTCTCAGCATTACTGCGCACTACATAACGTGGTTGTCAGTTTGGGTGGTCAACGGGGCCAGAGAGAGACGTACTTAAGGTAGTAAGAATATCTTTCCCAGAGCCTTTGAGTGGAGTCCCCATCGCAAGCGCCGTCTTCCGGGCTTCGTAAATGTCCTTAGCGGTGCGGTCCATGACATCGACAATATCCTTGGTAGCTCGGACAGACCCCCAGGTCAGGTTATCCATAACAAGGCGCTGGAACCAGCGCCCTCCAGGGTTCCATTTGTGTATAATGGGGAGAACAGCGAGTTGAGGGATGGCGGTCTTGTTAAATGTGGGGCTGAATGACTAGAGTCGGCACATGCTCAGAAGATTGCTTTGGCAAGGACTCACGTTAGAAGCTTGACAGTGGTGATGTAGGGATGTTCTTTTTCATCTTCTTTCAGGGAATCAAAGGAGTGACCGAATCCACTCTGTGCTATGAACTCGAGGGCCCCACGACTCAGCCATTCGAAGATTTCGATCTAGAATAGATGTCTGTAAGAACCAAGATGAGACCGTCCAGCAGGTTGCATACCTCTTGTTGCCCCTTCGAGACGATACGGTCAAGCGAAGCTACTACCTGGGTGTCCAGCTTTAAAGGTTGGACTTGAGAGGCAGGGACCAAGTCTCACCTTGCCACTAATTTCATGGAACGTAGGCACCATGAGTCTGTCAGCTATGAGCAAGTATCAAAAGGTTCTCATGACTTTACCTATGTCTCGCATATGCTTGATAGAGAATACGGGGGTAAGCATCTTTCGTTGTTTCCGATGCTGGTGCCCGAAGGTAGATATGAGCCCTTCGCCGAAGAGCATGGTTCTTGCACTGCGCAGGAATTAGTTGTGTGCCGCGCCGCACGTAGTGCATGGCCTTACGCGTAAGATTCAGGGGTTTCTTCGAATACTTCTTGCTCCTGCTCACAGCGCCCATCAGGTGCTAACACAGGGAGAGTGCCAAAAAAAAGGGCGAACCTTTACAAGAATGTGGTGCAACGCTTTGGGGTCAGAGACGAGCAAGAATCGACCCTGGGTTGACGGATTAGTCCCTTGTATTGGAGAGAAAGGTAGAGAAAGGAGGTTACCCCTAGAAAGGACCCGATGTTGCTGACAAGACCTAGTAGTCCTTCAAGTCAGTTGGGCCCAGATATCATACATTTCAGGCTTACCACTCTCATCCAGTTTCGCCAGGTATTCAACCTGGAAGCCGCCAAATAGCTTTCCGAGGTGACCTTGTGGCAAAACCTCAGCAACTGAAGGTGAAGGGAGCGGGACACTAAAGGACTCACCAATAAACGGAGACCCACCACCTGGCACAGGCAGGGCAGAGAGCGGATCGTTACGGACGAGGGGTCGAACAATGAACCACACAAGTCGAGTGAGGACATATACGGTGAGTATCTGCACAGCATGCAAGAGGAGAGTCATGGCGCTGTTGTGAACTACGATACTACGGTGCGCACCTTTTATATGGCAGGTCAAACATGGGACCGTGTCATCTAGGTGATCACGAAAGACACCAATGGTAATTTCGCGGGCCTAAACCCTGGCGTAACATCTTGGCAACTTGCATTTGCGGTTAATCAGCGCTCGGAAGAGGTGCCATTGAAAACGAGGATTTGACGTTGTGGTAAGAGCGAGCTTCGAGAAGGACAAAGATCTTGTATCCTTGGTAAGACTGGGTCTTGGGACTGTGGTATCTGACAGTCGGCTACTCACGGGGCCAATGTCCAGCTTCTTTAGCCTGTCACTTGAGGGTTCCTTGTAAAAAGAAACGGTGCCGGTGATGTAAAGACATAGAGATAAGCGGCCAGAGGAGTCCCGCGGTTAGAGGATGTAAAGACGAATGACCCTTGGGCTCAAGGCAGGGGTTCCTCGTGAGGGGAGAGATGACAGCCTGGTAAGGCACGGTCTTCTTGTTTGGGCTTCAGAGCACCATAGAGGCCAAAAGTGGCCTGTATCCAGCGTCCCGATAGATTCCTAGTTTGCCACCAAAGGGTCTGACCATTGGAATGAACATGGCTCAGATGCTCGTGGTTCATGGAAGAGTGGTGTTGGGTTGTTCTTTACTTCTTAAACAGTGCGATTGAGATTATAGTGTTTTTAAAATCTTTAAATCTCAAGGGCGGATGGTGTAGTTGGTTATCACGCTCGCTTAGCATGTAAGAGCTTTGCTTACGTAATCGCGTGCGAGAGGTGCTGGGTTCAATTCCCAGTTCGTCCATCTTTTCTTTTTTTTTTTTTTTTTTTTTTCTTCCACTGCTCTCGTGTTGAACAAGTGCTGAGCAGTGACCTAAGCAGCAACATCCCCAACTTACAGGACCATGCCCGACAACCTCTACCACGCAGGCTTGGGACCCTTATTAGATAACCAAGCAGGGCACTAGAGCTGGTAAATTCACATTATAATGGTATACGCGTACGGAATCAACCACATAGACAACACCCGGCCCTTTAGACTAACCCACTGCCGGCCATTTTCACCGTGTCCAACACAGCTCGTATACTTCCATCCCATAACCGCTTCGCAAACCCGGAATCAGAGGCAGACGCTACTTGCAGTCGACGTCGGACGATATCCACTGCGCTCGGTGTGAGTGTTCCAGCAGCAGCGACCATCTTTCTTCTCCGGTGCCTTATCCGCAAGACCCAGGACACAATCGGAAAGAGAACAAACAGGATGAGGAATGTAGCCAATTTGGATGTTGAGAGGTAAGGGGCAAAGGCCGCTTTGACGAGCGAAAGAATGGTAGGTTGTGAAATGGATGTTGACCTTGTCACCTGGACGTTTGCTCGTGGTGCAGAGACGGCAGAGCTGGCAGAAGAGGAAGTCTCGCGCGTTTGTGAATGTGCGTGTCCATTCGAGAGCTCCGTGTTTCGCCCCCGAGGTGTCGGCGTTGCGGTGCCTTCAGAGGAGGCTTTAGAGGAAACAGACGCGGCCGCCGAAGAAGCTATCGGCTGCATTGAGGCAGTGAAGGATTTACTTCCGCGTGGGGTGGCAGGAACGACTGTGTGTGTGGAGGTAGTTGAGGAAGAGGGTGTGGGCGAGTGAGATCGAGGGGTTGGTGTTGGGGAAGGCGAGGCTGATTGAGATCTAGGACGCTGGGAAGCAAGCGCTTCCGCATGTAAGGCGTTTAGCCTGGATCGCATGAACTGCCAAAAAGTGAGATTAGAGGTGGTAAAAGGATAGAGTCAGCGCACCTCTCGCGTATGCTCTGGTAGGTCGCCCTCGAACTGGAGAAACTCTTTTGCATATTGCCATTGTTCCAGCTTTGGCAGGATATGCAGTGTGTAAATCTCCACAACCTTTTCGTAGCCGTCCTCATCCGAGTCCTGCCCTGAGGGACTGGCGTTGAGAACCAATGGCGACTCCCTCTTTGACAGCCACTGCTCTGCCATCATCCTCCCAACCTCTGGGCACCCAATCTTCAAACTCGAGTAGAGCAGAGTGATGAGAACTGCTGATGGCAGGTAGGCCGCATTTGGAGGTTGCTGCGAGGGACCAACGGCAGGGTTAAACAGTCCCAAAGAGCGGGTATAGATACCAGACATCAGTGTCTGCGGCGAGTCTGTCAGGTTGGACTTGAGATGCGGGGGTATTGAGCTCATGGATGGTGGATCCGCATAGACGGTTGTCTCGAGCGTAACCCGCAAGATATCCCACTTTTTCCGGTGGTCAGCCAGAGCATCATGAACCAGTGCAGGTGGCTTCAAGAGCTGAAATGCGGATTCAATGAGGGAATGCGTCTGAGTAATATCACGATGGAGGAACGCTCGAGCAGCCCGGCTATACAATGAGCGCAGGGTGGCAGCTGTCGAGGAGGCTGACGAGACGCCATTGAGTGACACGGACTTTCCAGAGCTTTTGAGGGTTGTATTCGATGGATATACCATCGTCGTCGTTGCTGTTGCAGTCGGCATGGAGGGTAGAGGCAAGCAGCGGACGGCCTTCGAGTCTTCGGCTAGTGGAATTCACATGGGCCGATCAATTCCCACGCTCTCACTAAGCCGGACGACGACATTGGGCCTGGCTGCTGTTGCACTGACACCAAGACCACCATGGCATCTGTATTCCCCGTCATTATTATGCTGGCCGTGGCGCTGGGGCTCATGGCAGTCTCATTCATCTTTGTCAGGAAAGGTCCCAACCAGACGTAAGTCTTTCCTTGGTCAAGCAGAGCGCAGCTAAACCTCCCGACAGTGTAACCCGCTCGAGCTTGATGCTCACCATAGCAGTATGCTACTTAACCTGGGCGATCACCTACATGGCCCAGCTGCATCCTCTAATTGGTGAGTTTAATCTGGGGGTGCCAGTGTCTGAAGGCTGATTGTCGGTGCAGCTCCTGTACGGAAGGCAGAGGCGTAAAGGGACGGGCTCGAGATTGCTGCAGTTGTGTGCTTTTTATTCTGCTTTGTATACCAGGTGAGCACTGCTTGCTTGATCAATAAAACGGCGCTAATGAGTCTACAGTTACTGCTTTGTATCTTCTTCACATTAATTCAGGACAGTTTCAGCTGTATTATAGGAGGTCACTCTGTATCACTGTCTGCGTCACCGTCCCAGCCCGCAGTTGAACTCTCGCCGTCATTCCGGTCTCGATCCTTCTTTGCGGTAGTAGGTGCTCCCCAGTGACTTACAGGCCGTTTGTGTTTCTTCTGGTCGTCTGGAACCGCTCCCCAGCCTCCGTTTACGCTATTCGTGCCCCAGCCACCCGTCCAACTATCAGAGTCTTCGTCCCTGGTTCCAAGACCTGCCCAACTATACCTCCTCTTTGGCTTGCGACCCCAGTCAGTCCCAGATGCCCAATTAGGAGCCCAAGCAGGCTTCTTGCTGTCCTCTTCAGACAACGAGACGTCGGCCTCCACTCCGGTCGAGTCACCCACGTCGCTGTAATCTGTTAATTCCAGAGAGCCTTCTCCAGGTATCCAGTCAAGGGGCATCTCCTCAGATGTTTCCTCTTCGTTCCAGTCTGCGTCAATCAGCTCGACCGACCAAAGGTCACGCTTCCTTGGAACGCCATCCTCGTCCTTCTTTAACACCAGCTCTGTACTCTCTTCGATGGCTTGTACCAGCACCTCGAGCCAGCCTCCGCACGACACGGCAACACCTGTTTCGTACCAAACCTCCTCAAGCCCTTTGATAGCCTCCCGGTTATCTTCCATCCTGGCTTTTACGAGCTTGGCAATCTCAGGGAGGGCACGAGGTTTCTGAGAGGATGGGTGGGCAGGATGGTGCTGGTGAGCGAGGAGCTCGTGGGGTGCGCTGCTGATTTCTGCGCCAGCAGCTTCAGCTGTCAACCTCTTCACAGTCTCCCGCCCCAGCTTTCCCCGCTGTTCATCCGTCATGGTATCATTGCCCAACTTTCGGAATTCAGCGACGAAGGAGGCGCCGCCCAGCTCGTCCTCCCGTCCATATGGATCTTTTTGCTCTGATCGTCCTATTGAAGCCCAGTGAACAGAATAGCCCCATGTTGCAGCAGCGTCATTGACCCATTGTTCAAACTCTTCGGTTTCCCATTCGAATTTGTGGTCATCATGTCGAAAAATGCGATTCGTGCGTTTGGTTGGGTCAGGGTAGCCTTTGCGTGCAGATGAGGGTGCATGGGGAGCGGTGAAGCGTGCGTTGTAGGTGTACGAGGGTGTTGTCATCAAGAATATGCCTGGGTGGTACACGCCAAGGATGACAGGGGCAAAAAAGGGGAGGACCGAGGGTGGAAGGTGTTCAATTCTGTTTATCTTTGAGTAAACTACCATGCAGAAGAGACTGAAGAAACACGTACACTTCGCTGCTGACGATACATTCCATGCCCACAAACTCGTCATTGATGGCCTCTAAACCTCCCTTCCAGATCTTGACGTCCAACTCTTCGAACCTCGTCAAGGCAGTCGAGTACCTCCTCGCAGGATGAGGAGAAGTAGGGTCATCATACTCTTCTACATCAGGCGGTTTGGTTAATCGTACTGCGAACTGAAGGTCCTCGGCTGAGATATCGAGTCCATGAAGGTACCGTGGATGCAGATTGGGTATGCTGTCCGGGTCACGGCGGTTTGTTGGGTTCAACTGGGCACTGACTGGAGAGGTGACAGATACTGGAGATCGTGGGTCGGATTCTGGCGCAGAAGGAGGGGGCGAAAGCCATGGTGCAACTTGGCAGAGGGTATTGAGTAGTTCGCCTTCGCCACACCCGATATCCAGAACCTGGCAAAGCGTAAATCTATCTGCTCTGAACGCTAGCGAGCATGGAACGAACCTTGGTGATATTATCCCGACGAAGGATATTCAGGATCCATATACGCCGCTGCAGGTTCAGAGGGGGAAAGAAGGTCACTTCGAGCTCTTCATGGTCGTCTGTATCGCTGCCAGCCACAACTTCCATCGTTATCTCGCGCATCGGGCACATCGTCGTCGGGTGCGATTACTGGTGGTGGTTGAATGTCAAGAGTTTAGGTTATGATGGCATTAAGCACAACTTCCAAGGCAGAAGCTTGAAAGCTTGAGCTGGACGTTCTAGGCGTGGAGTCGCCCTTCTCCGCTATACCGAATACTGCCAACATCGTTCAGTGCAGACGGCTGCCTGAACCTCGTGGTCCAGTGACGGCATCCATATAGATTTGGTCATTTCAGGGGTATATGCCGGTTGCAGATTTTGTTCAGCGGACGTGACGACGCGCCGAACGCGTTCTCTGGTGCTCTGGCTCTGAAATGTCTTCCTGATGCCTAGGTTTCCCCCCAAAAAAAACATATATTCTCCAAGCGAACGATAAGCGAATAAGGGAGCATAGTAGCGCTTCCATAACTTTAATGGGCCCTTGTTTTGGGTTGGACAGGATGATTGATGAGTGTCCGGGGCATTGGCAGCACGGGGTTGAATTGGGGCTTTGGAAGCAATGCAAAGATGTAAGAAAGAATACAGTAGTAAGTACGATTTTCGGCATTGTACTATCACCGACTAGCGGCAATCTCGGAAAAGCGGATTCTTTTGACAAGACAACGTTATGCCTTAGGCGCTGTGAACACGGCAGGGGAAACTTATATACTGATGCCTACGGCTGACCATGGCTGTCGGCACTCCTCTCCCCCAGATTTCTTCAAGCCACTATGTCCAGCGCAAAAGACCTTCTCGCTCCGCCTCCGCTCGACTATGTCCACCATTCGAACGACGGGGGGTCTGGTTCGAGTTCGGATACAGTTATTGACCACGAGCACTCAAAAACGCCCAGCGG